AATGTTGAAATGACCCAAATGACACATGACCAGTCATTTGAGTCATTTGAGGTCATTTGGGTCACTTGCCATCACTGTTTTAAACTAATAAATAATAACAGATATAATGTTAAACATATTTTAATTACAAAATGAATTTAAGTCAATAGAGACAAGAATAGCAAGAATAGAACGTCTAACTGACAACGTTGAGATGATAAATCTTTTTTTAAAAATTCACTTGTCTGTGTCGTCGTGATCAACATTTCCATCATCCCACTTCCACAAACAATTTTTATCTTCCAAATTTTCAACTTCATATAAACCCTTAATCTCTGTAATCTTTTCCTCATATTTATGATATAACGTATGAGATTTCGCATTACTTAAATTTTTCCAAGTTTCATAACTTGATGAACGACCTACGTAACAAATATATTTTGGATCCGGGGTCAAGGGTAAGAAATGCACATCATCCAATGCTTCGTAATCTGAAATGTTCTCGGCCCTGAACCTTAATAACGCATTGCTTGCTTGAACATGCGCGTCAGAATAAATCCCGCTAAAGGTAAAAGCGTTAGTTGAATATATATATATATTATATATTATTTTTTTTTCACTTACCCCATAAAAGCGATGAACATATTTTGTAAAACCGTTACCACGAAAATGCTAGCTAGCAACGTTAACGCTTCTACCGCCCAAAAATCCCAAGTATCCCTTTGTACATAAGATCCGCCAATCCAAAAATAAGATGAAATTAACGAATCGATAATATTTGAATTTGGATTGTCCAATCTATCACTTGGATCAATTTCACCCGTTACGGTAACATCTATGGGCTCTTTAGTTGTAGTATTTGTCAATGAGTATTCGTCAGTTTTCGGTGTGACGTCAGTAAAAGTTGGATGTTGTAATAAAATAAACCTAATCGATATATTACACAAAAATTACATTAACGTTCTTCTTTAAAATAAAAAAAAAAATCGGAATGAAAAAATTACATTGAGTGAGCGAAGGCTGCAAGTACTAAAAAAATAAACAAAAGAAAAAGATATGATTCCTTTATAATATTTAAAATGATATAAATATATTTCGCGGTTTCTAAAAAAGGATTTGTTTAATAAATGTTTTTTTAAAAAAAATATTAACAAAGTTGTCATATTGTAAATACCCGATAACAAGCGAAGATATAAAATCTAAGATGCGAGAAACAAAGTAAGATTAATAGAATATGGTAAATGAGACAAACATTACTGATGCATTAACAGACGCTTACGAATTCAAACCAGAGTATTAACATGGTAAAGGAGATGTAGATTGATATATCTTTTGTCGTAATAACGTCTGCAAACCCATTCGAAAATTTAAATGAAGTTATAATATACGTGGACATTATAACAAGGGGTAAAATAGTACTTAATAAATCAAAAAAATTGAAAAATTCAAAATAACGTTTCCATCCATGATGCTCTAGTTGCGTATATTCTACAAACAATAAAAAAAGTCCCAAATAATAAAAATAGATCATGATGACGAATGTAAAACGATTAAGTTTTCCCGTTATTTCTACATGAGAAAGATAAAATTCGCATAAAACTGCAAAACAAGTTGCATATAAAATAAATTGGAAATAAAGTTGAAGAAAATAATTTCTTGCAGGATACCATCTTTGATTAATCGTAGCTTCCATTGTTGGATTATTAAATACATTATTATCCTTTGCCGCTCTAATAATCTGGATAAATGGACTAAGTTGCGATAAATTGTTAAATGCACCGGTATCTTTTAATAAATATCTTCGAGGAAGAAATAACAATTGAAATAATTTCACAAGAAATGAAGTTTGAACTTTTTTTTGATCTTCGATTTGTTTCTTTACGATATCACTAGTGGTAAATTCGTACAAAGGAACAATATGTATTAATGGTGGAATGTTTTTAAAAGGATTCGGAAAAATTTTTTGATATATTTTGAAATAAATCGTTATTAATATTTCTTGAAGGACTTCCAAGTTTAATCGACGATTTTTTTCCTTGACAACTAGTTTTGTATTCGGACAGAACGCAATGAATTTTTGTGATTTTTGTCTTCTTTTTTCAACGTCAAGAGGCATAAAATCTCTATAATCGATATTATCTGACAACTCTAGTCCCTTAAAACATTTCTTAAAAAATATTTCTCTAGCGTAATAATCTAGTATAAGAATAAATTTATTTAATTTTTTTTTTTTTTTAAAAAAAAAAAATTATTAACGTTATATTATTAAGGAATCAAAAGGACGACATGAATAAATATAATTACTTAATAATTCATGATTATCGTTATATAATTCCGGAAGTGCTTTAGAAACCGTAATTAACCATCCAAGATTTCGTGTTGCGTGGGTGGTATAATATTCTAAAAGATACCCGACAATAACAATATGACGGTTAACGCGGCGAGGATCTAAAGAAAAAAAATAAATTTAAATTCGCGAAATTTTCAAATCATGAATTGAATGATAAAGAACTTAACTATACCTTTTGAGCATAAACGAATCGCAATTTGTAAATCAGTCAAATCAGTTGATTCATAATTAAGTAACAATTCCTTTGATTGATTCTCCCCATTATGCACTTTGAGATCGACCGTTTCATTATTCCATCGTCGAAGTTGTGGTATATGCAAAAGTCGTCTGTTGCCTGTTTTTTTTAATTCCTTTTCATTCTCAACTTCATCAAGCAGAATAAATTTTATAAGAAAAGTAGAGCCTCCAATGATAATATCAGCCATTACATTATATCGAACATCCAATAATTTCCAAGTTTCTTGTTTTTTCTTGATAAATTTCCAAATTAAAAGGGAAATATAATTCATCAATTTTTCATATTTATGACGCTTTTTATATCCCACAAGGTTGTTTTTTCGACAATTCACGTGAGCTAAAGCCGCGCAAGCATGAATTACATCAGTAACGTGTCCGTCTGTAGATGGCCATTTAATCTCGACCGATTGATCAACGTTATTATAAACCCATTTGACTTTTAAATAAAAAGATTTAATCCCAACCGTCAATTCCTCTATTTTCAACGCATTCTCACTTTCCACTTTATCATTATCACTCGGGTCAGTTTTATTTGCCCAAATAAATTCAAGAATTGAACCATCTTTATTTTTCCTCCAAACTTGTACCGTGGTTCTTCCAATGATTAATTGAATTGTCTCTTCTTCGTCAAGGTAGGCAGAAGTTCGTTCATAATCAATTTCGTATACCCAAGGTTCTTTATCGCTAACTAATGGTTTCAAAGAGGTATTATCTGGATTACGATGGTAAATGCAATGACCTTGATCTTCATGTAGGGACATAATATTTTCACCAGGTGGAATTAATTTACAATCATAATGATCTTTTTTAGAAATCTCCCTTACAATTTCCTTTGAAATCCATTTATCAATTATTGACGAAACCGTACCATCAGCATCAATCGTTAAGAGATTTCCAGGACATCTCGCATTATAAGATTTCATTTTAACATCTAAATATTCATCGCTATCATAAGTTCGAATTTGATTCTCGGACGCATCAAATAAATCCCAAATTTTAATTGAAAACTTCCTTTTTTCCTTAATAATTAACAATAATCCTTCATCTCCATTAATAAATTCGCCAAACATTATTTTCGTACCTTTCCCAAAACTTTTCCTTGCAATTTCTAAACCATTCTCGATATAAAAGATTAAGATGGTCTCAATACCTCTTGAAAACATCAAGAGATATTTATTTTTGGAAATCGAGAAGATGGGACGAGCAAACTTTTTCGTCAAGGATCTATCCAACTTTTTTTGAAAAATTTGTTCCATTTCCATGGTGACCAAGCTAAATAATTGTATGGATTGAGTACCTTCATTATATTGCTCAATCAAAAAATGTTCGTCAAACATGCAAGCTCGTATTCTCTTTAAACAAGAATTAAATTTGTATAAATTTGTCAATTCATCTTGAAGTCTCATTGGGTAAAAGTAATGTTGTTTTATATATCGTGACAGGTCCTTAATACGATAAGTATAGCTAAAGATTCCACTTGAGTTAAATATGAAGCAATGCATTTTTTCATCTTTATAATGAACAAAATTAACCATTCCACCTTTTGGAAAATAATGGTGGAAAGAATGATCACTCCAATGATCTTTCAAATCTCTCATGGTGCGGTAAATAATCGTTGTGCCATGTAATTTATTATCATTATTAGCCAACATATCATTTTTGATCACAAACGATATCGCGACGAAGATAGAATTCGCAAAAATATTTGATAACGCTATTTTAAACATGGGAAATTCGGAATCTTTATCTGAAGGACGTTTATGAAGTTCGAAATTTGGAAATTTCTTTTTGTCAATTATCGCTTCGAACAATTTTTCTTTGTTTTCCATTTTGATAATTTTATATTGGAATGTATCTAAAAAAAGTATCATTAGATGTATACATTTCGATTTTTACAATAATAAGATTATGAATATTGCATCAACCCTTACTGCTGTTAAATGTGAGGATATATTGTCCATCGGGGCTTATGGCTAAATACCATCCTTTCTTTAAACTTTTAGAGGTTTGACCGGCGGGTACCTCCATCATAGTTTATCTCTATATATATTATATATATAATATGAATTTTTTTGCATACCTTACCTTTCGATGCTTATTTATATTGTTTCATGTTGAGCGTAGTAAAAAGAATATCGTATTTTAAAACTATTTGGCTATACTTTTTTTAGCCATACGAGGCATTGCTCGTTACAATCGCCTCCTTTTTCTGTTTATGTGGCTTCACTACATCTTTTATTGTGGCTTATATACAAACAAGCAATAACCATCTGCCACGATCTCTATCATTAATACTCTGGATTTAAATATGGCTTATTATTTCGTTGTGATTAAGCAATTTCCTTATAGAACTTCCACCATAAAAAAAGATGTTTAGAAGTTTAAAAAAGCTTATCGATTTAAAACATTCCACTTAAAAACATGTTTTGGTTAGGTTTTTTTTTTTTTTTTTTTGAGAATATTTATCGAGATTCCTAACGTGAAAAATATTTTTTTTAATTTCGTGTAACCTTTCACCGTTAACAAGAATTACAAGACGAAAATTTCGCTAAGAAATTGTCTTTGTCAAATTTAACTTTGTAGATCGATTTTGGCCAATTCGCCCTCGCGTGCCAAGTCGTCCCTCTGGCCAATTGTCCACATGCCAGAATTTTCTTCTGGACAAATTTTCATTTTAATAAATTCAATATATAAACGATGGGTTAGGTTTTCTTTTGGTAATAACATATTCTTATTCTTACGATTATTTTTTTTTTTATTTCCTCGCTTATTTCTTTTGTTCAATTAATTTATTTTTATTATTTGTATAATTTGATTTTATAACGGATAATTAATTTTATTAAATAAGTTGTACATTAATATTATAACCTTCTGCTTACCTTTCCTTTGTAAACGCAAAGAACTGAGGCAATAATAGTAATAAAAAATCAAAAATCCTTATAAGGGTATTTTCAACAAAACAACTAAGAAGTTTGGAATTTCATCTATGAGACGTTGGTTTAAACAGAAAAAATATTTGCAAAGACATCTCCATCCGGAACTCATCTCTATATTGATTACTCAAATGATACCTCAACACTTCCGTTTACCAAAAAGAAAGGTTTCCTAAAAACGTCATATCTGTTACCATATCATAAACTATGTAACACAAAAGTTATTTCATAAACTCAATCTCGATTCTTTGGTATTGGGAAGTGACTGAAACGTAAAAAAAAAATGGTATTTCCTCCTCCTCCAACATCACATCTCCATCGCCAGATGATCATATTAAATCATTCTTTTAAGATTTGATATACTTCATAATCCTCTATAGAAAAATTACCATCTGTATTTCTTATCCCATTTTCATAATTATTTATTTTACAATAATTTTCACTAAAATTCGAATAAGAATTATAACAAGACGATAATCGAAGATCTTCACCAAAGGAGGGGCCATCGTTATTATTACAATATATAGCATCTATACCTATGTTTTTTACACGACTTAAAATTAAATCTTTAAGGTTATCCTTATTCTTAAAAGAAAATATAAAACAATCTCTGGTTAACCCACGTGCATCATTCCATATTAAAGGATTATATCCACCAAGGATTTCATTTGTTCCCTTTACTTTAATGAATGTAACTGTGTAAGGTATGTTATCACACAAATTATGAAATACACCGGATGTGAATCCATCTCTACTTCCTCTTAATAATAATTTAAATCTATATGGTAAATGTAACTTTGCATATGCAAATTTGCTTTTAATTTCTATTTTATCAATCCATCTCGAAACTAGTGAAACAATATTTAAATCTACAATTTTTGATTCAATTATTCCATCAACCTTTCTATTCCTAGGTAGTAAAATATTAATATTTGGTTCACTATTAGGATTTAAATAAGATTTCAATAATTCTTCATAAAGTTGAGGACTTAAAAGCTTTTTATAAGGGTGAACTTTTTCAAAGAAATCTATAGATGATAAACAAAAAAATCTAATCAAGGGTATGCAATTTTGTAAAGTATTTTCCATCATTTCGAAATCATCATCTGACCAAGTTGAAGGATCAGAAATAAGTGTAGGATTTTTTTCAAGTCCCCATTTTAATACGTGTTCCCAAATTTCAATTTCCTCCATTTGTAATTCATCTTTCTTGATAAGTGAGATTAAAGATCTTTCAGGAAGCGATGTGAAATCAAATGATTGAAATATTTTTTCAGGTGTTTTGGCCATAACATCCGTACAATGCTCTTGAAGTTTCAACAATGAATTAAATTGAAAACTTGTTCGATGAGTGAGCTCAAAATGTTGTTCCATCCATACAGATTTGTTTTCAATTAAATAATTCTGTATATAATCAACTAGTTCTTGAAGAAGAAGCTCATCAGCAGCAACCAATACTTTTAAAATATCTGAAGTATCTTGTTCGTTTAATGAAATAATCCCACCATAAATGTACCTATCATAACAAATTTATGATTATAAAATAATGACGAAAAGAAAATGATAATAAGGCGCTTAGATACTTACTTCAAAATAATTTGAAAAATTTCCGGAGAAATATTTGGCAACTTAATATGAACTAGGGCGTCATCATTATTTTTATTGGATGACAATTTTCGTCGCAAAAATGGAGAACGATAACTCAATATGTTCATATGCGCGCGAAATATTTTCACATTCGGATCTTTGCCAACCTCAATTGTAATGTCATAATATTCATCATCATCTAAAATTTCAATAAAATTTTGGCTTAACTTGGAAAATAATATTGTCGACATCTTTAAAATTGTAAAAATCAGGAAGAACGAAAAAATTAGGAAAGTTGTAAAATCATTGCTTAAATAGTTTGTGTTACTGTTGTACAGAGAGGTCATCAGATCTCTAATTTTGCCCGATCTGAAATTAATCAACTAAATTTTTTTTTTTTTAGTACCCGAACACTAAGAATGTTTGGCTGGTCATTAAATTTCTTAGCACCTCTACGACTTTAAACTACAAACAATACATGGAAATGAATTAAAAATTATAGCAAATCGAACGGATGATAATTATGATATTTAATGATATTGATAATCAAATATTAAAAAAGAAACGGTGGGTGCACTGTGATGAAATAAACGAGAATTTTTTTGACATGAACTTTGCAAAAAAAAAAAAAAAAAAAAAAAAAACCAAGAATAATGTATATTTTACAAGTGTTTTGATGATCTCTATTCGGTATACATCATAAATATAAATCCAATGGTATGGATACGAATTTAAGAACAAATAGACCGTGATTGTATTCTACGATAAATAAAAAGACAGAATATATCTTACCGCTTAAATTTAAATGTATTTAAAAATGTATAAATTTTACCAGACCGACTATCGCGACTATCTATATCAGTGTTGGGAAATTAGACAATTTTGGACAATTTTGGACAGGTTATGGACAGGTTATGGGCACATTTTTCTATGTCCAAAACCTTGTCCAAAATATTTAAAATTAAAAAATGTGCCCAAAACCCAACACTGATCTATATAGTATTATAGTATCCTTTAACACTTTTAAAAAATTAGGATGGTTGAATGCTAACATACCAATTCTTGCGATAAATTTTTACATATTGTTATTTAAATATTTTTTTGTCTAACGAGTAATATACAAAAATATTAAACACGCTGTCGTATTAATAAGCATTTTTATTAACGTTAAAATTTATACCGAAATTCGATTAGTCGTTCTTTATTTTTTAGCATCATTATTTATATGAATTAATTTCTTAAATTCTATATTTTTAATTTTTCTAATTTTTTACAATATTGATACATTTTAATATTTTAACTTTTTTTCTGAAATTAGAGAATTTTATTAAAGATTTAATATAATTTTATTAAATTACTAAATTTTTAGATTTCTTTCAACATTTTTATTTATATTTTTTAATAAATAAATATAGTTATAAAATTAAAATAATATTACTTAATTATTAAATTTAAAATTTTTAATTAAAATTCTAAATTAAATAAAATCAGATTATTTAAATAAAATTTAAAACTCTATTTATTATTAATATATAAATGCTTTATAATAGGAAATAAAGAAATTATCAAAAAATTTTTAAATCTGATTTTTTTAGTAAAATAAATCAAAATTTAATATTAATTTAAAAAAATTTTTTGTGAAGTTTTTTTCACTTTTATTATAAAGCATTTATATAGTTTAATTATAAATATATCAAATTCAAAAATAGTTTAAAATTAATTTTATTAAATTTATAATCAATTAATAATTTAATTAAATAAGTAAATAATTATAAATTTTTGTATAAAAAAAATTTAAAATTACTTCTATTTTTATTGAATTAGAAAAAAAATTAATAAGTAAATTTTTTATTTTTATATTTAAAATTAAATTTTAAATTTTAAATAGTAAAATATATATTATTATAATTTAATTATTTTTTATAAAATTTATAATATTATATAATATTATGCATGTGATACAAACTTGAAAATTGGATAATTTGATTGGATTCAATATTTTATAATCTAAAAAATGGTTTTTTACCTTTTTTAGAAAGATCAATATCGCAAATCGCGTGTTTTTTATTTCATATGATGTACTGGCCACTAGAAAAATATGTGGACATATTTTGGCCTTAGTATCATATCATAGATGCGAAAAGAAGGCAAATTATGAAAATTATCAGCATAATTTTACCAGAATGGATAATATTGATGATTGGTTTATTATATGAGATCCAATTAAGCATTGTTAAAATATATTAGAATAAAGATGCTATAATTTAGACATTTCACAAAAATGATTTGTAAAGTAAAGTGGCGTAAGATAGTTTGAATTATTATATTTGCCATATTTTGACTCTATAAATATATCACAATCAATCCAATGCATTGCCTATTTTTAGGTATTGCACAATTGATAGTAAAATAAATCTAGATTGATAAAGGGATTGACATCAAATTCCTTAAATAAGATTCAGAAAAAGATGAAAGAATTTCAGATTCCTTTCAATTTAGGTCAAATTTCAG